TTTTTAAAACAAATGAACTTAATAAAAAAATTAACAAATTACTGTGCAGGTATATGGAAGTAACAAAAATAAAAATTTCAACGCAATCAAGTTCACAGATATATCATGTGTAGAATAAATATATATACGAAATAGTGTGTGCGACCGAAAATTGTTTGACTATTTTTTGGAATATTTCTGTCTTCACTGTGCGTCACAATAATATGTTTTGGGGAAAAAAACAGTGACAAATGACGAAAATGACTACGACTACGAGTCGTCCGCGTCTATACGTGTATAGTATAATAATAATAATAATATTATAATATTATATTTACCACTGCACGCTAGAAAATCGTCAATGTCATCGTCGTTAAATAAACATGGCACCGGTAGTAATATAGTAGTCATAGCAGTGATGGTGTAGTATTAGTGGTAGTAGTACCTACATAGTAGGTATATACAGCGTTGGCGAGTCGGAGTCATTAAATTGTCAAGTGTTTTTTTTTGGTGGGCGGGTACCCGGGGGGCTTGTTCGTTGTCGTTGTCGTATAGCTGCCACCGCGCCGTGTCGAAGTGAAGGCTGCATTGCACGGAAACGCGTATTATATATATTTACGTATAATATACGCCTACCCGGACCGGGGCGGGAAAGAAGAGGAAACCGAAAATAAAAAAATTATAAAATTAATAACAATAATAATAACTATAAAAGGGAAAGGAATAAAAGAGAGAAAGAAAGAAAGAAAATAATATATACTAAAATTCATTTTTTCCAATTACCTCGCAAACGCGGCCAATGTTATCAAGAGAAAAAATCACATATTATTGCAGTATATACCTACGTTTACGTGCACGTACCTATATAAAAAATGTATACTCTCATATTATTATACGACACCTATTAGTATTATATGGATTAGGAATATACACATTGTGTGTAGTTAATCAATTATCACCATATTAATATATTTCTATAGGTATCCTATATGTATATAATCGGTGACAGCAGCAGCGACGGTCGTTATGATAATAGGTATACATTATATTGTTGTATACAATGGAACGAATCAAAACGCCACTTTGATTGCTACCACTGTATAGAGTTATGAACAAAAAGTGGAACAGTTATAATAAAAAAAAAAAAAATGCCATATTTTCTCCCTTGTTATATTTGCGCGTTCGCTACAGGGCCGCTGACGGATTTTTACTTTATTTTTTTTTTATAATTTTGTCATTTCAAATGCCCTCGAGGTCTACCAAACACACATATGTATATACGCGTGTTATACTTGCTTTAGTGTATTTAATATATATATATACATTCTATGATGCTACAATTGCTACATATAGTGTCCGGTGACCGGCAGAATATTACGTGCGGCGATCGGTGATAAAATGGTTTTTCTTTGTTCAATTGAGATAAAAAAAAAAAACCGAAGATGTGATAGTGTACCTATATAAGGTAGGTAAGTACACAAAGTATACGCATACCGATAGAAAGAGAGAGAAATAGTATAGGAAACTATTCGCGTCATTAAGGCAATCGATTTCAATCTATTTCGATTTTCGTTATATGTTCTTTGAGGACTTGTCTTTTATTTATTTACTTTTCCTCCGACGCTCTTTAAGCCCGAGTACACCGTAATAATATGTATGTACTCGTACCGAGTCACTAACTCTATACTGTAGCGTCCATGCTGTATGGTATTACTGTATTAGGTATATAGTATATTATATTCCGAATCAGTATAGTGTGTTCTACTGTCGTCGTCGTATATTGTCGTGCATTATGCGTTTTTGTGTTCTCCGAGCAAATAGAGCGTGAAACGGGCCAAGGGGTTATGCACATCGTCGTCGGCGGGGGGAAGTGTTTTTGTACGGCCGATTAGGCGTACGGCGATTAAAGGGCGAGGGTGAGCGCGTTCAAAAGACCGTTAACCGGATAAAAGAGAGTGTACGAAAACATCATAATAATAATATACACTCTGTATATATAGTATATAACACAGTATAATACGCTTATAATATTATATTATATTATGCATGTGTGTGATATTTGTATTATACCTTAGTCCGTAGAGCCGATATGGTGACAGAGAGTGAGAGAAACTGAGATTCGACAAATATATAGGTACGTGAGTTATTATGTGTCCGCGGGAAATATCGACAGCGCGTGATGGTGACACAGACTTTATAATATATTATTGCACACACATATAGGTATTAGGTCGTATAGTGTATAATATACCGGCAACACCGGTCCAATATCCTTTAGTGATTTCGAAAATCCTTTCTGCCACTGCTCGCAGATGGTCTAATGTGTGTTTATAAAGGTTATAACAAATACATATTATAATATATATGCAATATACATCCATATGATTGTATGTGCGATGATGCAACGCGAGTATGATTATTACATATAACATGCACATGCGAAATGGGCAGTGGACAATAACATTATATATCAAATGAATATTTAATTAATGAATATAGTTATTACTAATCACAATATTTACAGCAACAATAGTGATAAAATAATAATCTCGTATCAGCAAAATATAATCTGCATATTATACACGCGTTCTCGTTATAAATATTATATTATTTTACACTGCAAGCCGTCATTTAGTATCTATTTGCTGTTAGTCACTTATACATTTAGTACATCGTTTGATTAGGCTTATAGGGTCTAGACTGACTTATGGGTGGGCGCTCAATCAGTTTCCAGTGAATCAATTTGTTATAAATTAGTCGAAAGTATCAGTATAAACTAGTAATACAACTATATAAGCGTGTACAAATTATAATATCGTTCATAATATACTTTATCAGTGTTGATACCCTTGCAACATTCGAGACGTTTCGATTAAGGAGCAAAAATATTCTCAACAACCAGACGACCAGACCCGATGAAAGGGGGTGAATGGAATATTAGAGGAGAGCATCACTAGAAAAAAATGTATACCTTTACGATTTAATTTTATATATAATATGAAATATAATTTTTTTTAAATTTATTATTAAATAATAACATTGAATTGAAACTTCTACGCGTAGAGGGTGATTGGGTTTAGGAGCGGAAATGCCTCCGTTTGTGCTACGGGACTGCTACGGGGCTGCACTAAAGTTTGTCTAGCCTAATAATGTACGCACGTTCTATATGACGGCTATACATATATTATAATACACTGTAAATCTACTATATAGCTAGCTTGGACAATCGTTACGGTATAGTCGCGATCGTTATCGAGGATAGCTCTATCGATTTCGGAACCGATACGTGTTGTACACTCTGTAATTTAATATATTATACAACCTCATATAGGTTTGTGACAGGAAAAATCGGAACGCACGTGAACGGGCGGCAGTCGGATTTATTGATAACAACAACAACAACAATAATAGTAATCGTAATGATAATAATGACGCGTGGACATTTTTTTTTAACTGTCACGATTGTGTTTGCATTAAACGTGATTAGTGTGTATTCGGTGGCGGCGCCGGGTAGTGATGTGGGGGCGGCCACGGCGAGGGGACGACATCCTTTCAAACAAAATCACCGTAGCCTTTTGTACCTCGATATATAAGCATTTCCTGTTTATTATAATACGGCCGTTCGTATCCGCGAAAAAATTTWATAACGGGTTATTGACGTCCACCGTCGTCGTCGTCTACACCGAGTCCGTCCGTCCGTAACGGTGGCGGCGTGAAAACGACGTTTTCGCCTGTGAAACGTACACACAAGCTTATATCAACCGATTTCGGTCATCAGTGCAAACACAATATTAAAATGTCGCGTATCATTAAGTATCGTGCGACCGTCATCTATTTTATAATTTAATGCGTATGTATGTACGCATTAATACAAGTGTGAACAAATATTTATTTATTTTACACCATGCGCATAATTTGATGAGGGGTACAATAATTATTATAATAAACGATATTTGCATATTAGTGAGACAGTTTATAAAGAGAAAATTAAAAGTATGCAATCGAAAAAAACATAAAACACAATTTATTATTAAATTATGTTAAAGTTATTGGGTAAAGTAGTATTTGGTGACAGGAAAACTAAAACAAATTATTAAGCTGCAGGTGCAAGAGTATTCTTTGGGTGACAGTGACCTAGTGAGGCGGGGAGGTGTGATGACACGTAAAAAATGAATTGTTCATTATTGTAGGGTAGTAGGGACACGGAATGTGTTTGATGCGAAGAGGTAAAATAAAATAACCTTCACATACTGCATCTCATATAATGTATATAGTTTTATTATTATATGGATGAACATTATTTTATGCTAAATGATAGACGACGCATTCGTTATGAAAGTAAACAAATTTAAAAATACATTTTCATGGATGTGGAATTAAATAGTATCGAATACTTTCGTAGATTTTATACAAAATTAATGAGTTTATACAAAAACTTATAATCGTTTTATAACCTCACTTTATATACCTACACAGTTTGAAGTTTCAAACCACCTCAGCTGAAAGTACACAATACATCATACTAAGACTAACTATAGCTTCAATAGCAATATTGTATAATAGATTATATTGTAAGATCATAATAGTTGAAAATTAATAACTGATGATATTTAATATAAAATTCAAAATGTATGAACTGTTTTAAAAGTCTACAGTCTGCGCCTTCCCACTCCTTCCCTACCGCAGATCTATAGACTAGCAGTTAGTGCGGCGTATATTTTGATGATAATTCTTTACAGGAGCCAGGAGGGTATCGTAAGAATAAAGGTAGATTTTTTTTTATGTGGATGTTTTGTCTCACATTGCATTTAAATGTTAATTTTGACTTGAATAAAAAAACGACCACATTAAATAATAATTTATACAAAACATAATAATAATGCATACATTATAAGTATTGCATAATAGGAATACCGTATAATAGGTATATTATAGCTGATTTTCCTTTCATATAATACCAACAATTTTGTCAAATCATAGCAATATTAATCAGTTTTTTTTTTTTTTTGTGCCACTCGTAGGATGCAACAGCAGCAGTTCGCCGCCCAGTTAGCGCATTCGGGCGGTCGGCACTTGAACCTCCGGCGGTCCATGTCACCGGGTGCGGTCAGTACCACCGGGTCCGAGTCGAG